AAAAAAATCCTTTCCAGGACCAAGTTTATTTAACAACAGAGTGAGGCATTTCTTCAAGTTAAATGGGTGCTGTCATAAGATTCAAATAAATGATCACAACATGTCTGCAGGAGGTAGCCTTATGTCCTTATATGGAAGATATATTCGTCATTGGGTCTTTCCTGCCCTAAGAGCCTCTTTTAAAGGCAGCATTGCTCCATCATAAACGACTGCAGTTTTGGTATCTTGCCAAGTATTCTGAAGGTCACTTTGGATTCTTGCTGTTTCCGAAATGTGACAAAGTAGATGGAAAAAAAAACTTTAATGCATACTTCTCTCTCATGAACATAAATTGAACAAGAACTCATGCGTTTGGGTTTACAGCAGAGTATTTATTTGAAAATGTGTTTAATTTCAGAGGGCTTTGGCTTAATGAAAAAGCTTTTAAACTTAAATCAAAGCCTAAATAATATTTGCAAATAGTATTACTTTAGCTACTGTCTTCATCCTTCCAGTCATATTTGTTGTCCTTATAACGGATTTAGATCTAATCGTTGAAAACACGGGAAATATTTATTTTCTCTGTAATTCTCAGTCCCTATTTATGTACCTACCTTTCAAAGTGATTTTGCTTTTGCCATTTATGAAAAACAAAACATCTTTACTTGTACCATCAGCTTTGAAAAAAACATATTGAGACATTTCAGACTTATGCATGGTATACTTTTGATGTCTCATTCTGCAATGTTAAAAAGCCTTATCAACTCTTTGCATAGAATCACCACATTTCTTAAATGTCAAATGATGCCAATGTCCCTCAGCATGGGGGAGATGAATTTAATGAGAAACTGCTGAAGAATTTAGCACACTAATGTCTCAGACGCTTTCCTAATTCCAGAGATACAAATCAAGTTGATTATTGAACTCACATAGCCGGAAACACCAGTTTCAAATGTTGTATGTACGCATACTCCATCGTTTGAAGTTGACCTAATAATTACCAGCTCAGTTTTAGACTGATTATGTGTTTGTAAGATTTAGATATAAATAAATAGCTTTATCTAACTTCAATTTTTTTTTTCAATATTTACTTTATATTTTTTCATTATAAGGTAAAAGCAATATGATTTTGTACGAATCCAAGTACATTCAAATAGATTGCATTTATGGAGCGCTTTAAAAGTTGTGTTGACACAAATCCAAATATCATACAGTTAAATTCATAATGGTTTCTGATCTTTCTAACAGCACACTGTTAAATAGATGATGTTATAATAACAGAAAGACCTAGTCTATGAAGCAGTGATGTGTGTCTGACAATTAGTTAAGTGTTTATTACCTCTCAGGATACCATCATTCAAAAAAGGCCATGGGTCTCCAAACAGATACTTGACATCAGATTGGGTATTCCTCCTCTATGAAGAAAAGCCTCATGAGCATTTCAACAAATGGATGGAGAAACTGAAATAAACTGCTTGCCTTTGCTGGCTTAACTTCCTGTGTGTCTGACTTTGGAATGAGCCTAAGAGTTTCTTATAATGCAAACTAATGAATGTCAAAGGAACATTAGAATCTTTTACATTGTTCATGTTCTTCGCTATACTGGGCATCTATTTGTGTGTTGTGGCTCAAGTCAAAATAAGCTTATATGATGTGTTATATGATGTGACACAAATAACATTTAGCATCCGTGCAGATAATCATAGCATAGGGATCCAGCTCCAACCTACACTGTCCAGATGAAATGACCCCCAGATGATGCAAACTTCTCATACAAACTTAAAAGAATGTGTTTTGCTTTTGTGCGAGTGTGTATTGCTCGGTAATCTACCCCTACAGAGATGTCTAAATTAGAATGCACCAACAGTGACCCATATTACCTCTGATTCAGTCTAAGGGCTGGAGGGCCTTCTACTGTTCCAGCTTCAGCATGTTATTATCGTCACAGTGGTTGGCATGTAGGTTTCCTGTGTTTCCTGCAAAGTAGGTTCACTTGGTTTCTGGCAGTTAGATGATAAGATTTTGACCACTTGGATTACGGCTGTGAGAAATGTTATGCTATTTTTATTTTATACACACTTTATCTTCAACAGTTTATTCTTATTAATTAATTGTTTAGCCTTCTAAGTACAAAAAATACAGATAATAACCTGTGCACATATATGACATCCTGAGATGCCTTGTTTCAACCAGTGTAATTTGTGTGAAGGCTGGAAAACAGCATGTTTTCAACTGAAGGAACCCATAGCACATTTAGCCTTTTTGTTCCAGTTAATTTTTTATTTTTGCTTTTTTGCTTCGAACCAGCATAGCTGTTGTAAACAGTTTGCAGCTGATTAACTATCTCTTAACACATAGCTTGAGGTCCATGTAAAATGAAAAAAAATATACAAGCAGCTGTTCAAACAGATAAAAACAACAAATCTGTGTCTACCTAAAAAAATACAGTAGTCTCGAAACCCATTTTATTAACACACTGCAATCCATCCAGTAAATATATAAAATTGTGCAAACAATTGTCTGGTGATTTTGGGAGCTTTTTCACTTACTGAGTGGATAAGTTTTGCAGCTTCCTAGAATCCATGTTGAGTTATCTATTGCTGCAAAGCTAAAGATAGCGATGATAACAATAAAGACTTGCACATACGCACACACACACATATATATATATATACATATATTGGGGCAAATAGCAATTTGTTTTCCGTCTGCAATGTCAGTGAAAAGATCAGTCTACTTCTTCTGTAATGGATTTTCCATGTATATGATATATATTCAGTACAACATTCCTTGTAATGTACTTGTTACAACCCATGGTTTATGCTGGCTAGTTATTTCCAAATGCAGGAGAATAAAAATGCAATACTTCCAACACAATGTTTTTCAGTTTTTTAGAGCAGATGGCTATTTTTCAAATACAAGATCCTTCTCTCTTTGCTCATTGTTTATTTTTTTAGCTTGAAAAAAGTGTGGCATGAGGGATGCTTAGGACAAAGGGAATCTTGGTTGCAATTTTTGGAAGTACATATTATTCTTGCCCAACAATGCCACCTTGTGCAGACCATGCCGGCCAAACCCGATTTCAAGTTTGCATGATAATACCAGCAGATACAGTGTGTTTGTGGACCCAAGGTGATCACAGGCAGAGGTATTCAGAACACGAAGAAAAAATGTGCATAGACAAGACAACCAGCGCCACAATGTGCCTGGGAGCTGAGACACAGCTGCTCCACACAGGAGTGGGAGGTTGCTTTGTGGGAGGAACACACAAAGCAACACACAAACACCAACACACAGCCCGTGTTTCCAAATGGACACAGGACAACCCACTATACAGACAACTGGAGATGAAGCTCCAGCCAGGAACAGAAACCACTGACAAAACAAACACCTGCTAGTATGTGAAGACCCACATCCTGCATGAGTGTTCAACAGGTGGAGGCGGATATTTCATGTTGTCACTCAGTGTTATTATTAATTCAGGATCCTGTGAGGGAGAGCTTACCTGTCTGTGCTGCTGGGCGCAGCACCCTGAATAGTAAGAATTGCTCATGAAAAATGTATGAATGATACAATGATATCCATTTGGTTCTGAATGCTTTGTTGTTTATTCCTTCTTTTTATTTTCTTTCTTCTTTTAATTTATTTAGTGTATATGTTATCAGTAAATGCACATTTCATAGAACATCTTTAGTCACCTTTCCATTCAGCTTCTTTCTCTGTCTTTAGCATTCAAGAATGTTAAACATTTAGACTTTTCTACATTGTAATTATAATTTCTTCTACTTTTTTTAAACAAAATTTGGAGCCGTTCCATCAGAGGCCATGGAAGTTGTTACAATAAATCTGGAAGACAGAATTATTTACATAATTTTCCTTTATGTTTCAGGTCATCCCTGGACTTCTGTGTCTACGTCAGGCTGGACTGTTTTCCACTTGGTTCCAGTGTCCTGGTTTGTGGCAGATTTTCCTTTACAGAATACAAAATATTCTGTTCTGCTACATGGCACTGGTTATGATTTATTCTCCTAATCCTGCCTCACTGAAGTGGACGATGGTAATGGCTTTGCTATTCAGGGATGGAAGGTGTCACAGGAATGATAAACTACTCCCGACTCTCAATCAGCACTATCATACTTGTCTTTGTCTGCATTTGTATTTTGACTGACACTTTTCTCCATCATTTCCTTGTTTTCCTGTGTCCCCTTTCATGTTTTTCTCCCGTCCTTCTTTTTTCCAGTTTTTCCTGTTATTAATCTCCCTCTGGCTTCTTCCACCAGTCTTTACTTTTCCAGAACCCCTGAGGATACCAACTCCAGTGCAGGTGTCAGACCTGGAGAACACTGATAAGGCACTTCCCTTAAACCTCTTCTGCACTGGCTCAGTATGCAAAGAGAGGAATGGAGCAAAGAATGCTGCACCACCAAGACCCCTAATGTCACATCACAGATCAGGATGCCCACTCAACATTTTCACCTTCTGTCCTTTATGGAAATACTATGGAATACCGATTAAGGACTTTTTAAACATTAAAACATGTTTTATCAAATCAAACCAAGCTTTTAAACGATGTGCATGGTAGTGAAGTCTGGAGGGTGAGTTAAAAGTATCAACAATGTACAGAATTAGGAGCACACTTTTTTTGCCTTAAAATGTGAAATTTCAGTCAGTTTAGCTCAAACAAAATCAGATAATAGTTCTGTTACTGAGAGGGGAAAAAAATGAACCAATGTTCTTAATCCGTCAGCCATCACACAGGTAATTTATTTTATCATGGCCATCTTTTTGCAGGTACTTCTGTAAGCTATAAGCTGTTTGCCACAACCGCTGTCATCACTGTAATCTCCATGGTTGGAGATGGACAGATATAATCTCCAAACTAGCTATTTATTGAGTTCTGTGTTTTTCAGGCTGGCAGACATCTCCTTGTTTTTCCAAGGTAAATGCTTTTTTTGTTTGCTTGTTTGAATGTAGTTTTGCATAGCTTTTGCAATCTTTTACTGAATGCTGTTAATTTTTCACATCAGAGATTTTCATCATCTACTCCTACACCCAATTCTATGTTAATCCTACATCATCAGTGCCATACATTACAATATCAACTCTGTGAAATTCATGCTCGACTTTGCCTCCCAGTGGTATAATTATTATTATTGCCAAACTTGTGCGGGAGATTATGAGAAGAATGCCATGGTTTTATTTGCAATCTTTCCTTTATAGCAGATCTTAATGATATTCTGTCAGATGGAGTGAAAAATTAACAGTTTATTACACCACAAAGCTTTAGAGCAGAGTGCAAACACTCAACTAATGCCTGTGGTAATGGATATAAAAAACATAAGATCCAGCAGGGAGAGAAAACATGCATCCATAACTTGCTGAGAGGCATCTTAGAGCAGAAAATGGGAAAATAATATAAATCTTTAATGCTGTGGTGGGAGGAATGACCTTTCTTCCTTCTGTGTTAACATACTGTTGAAATTCCAAATATTACACCTGACACACACACACATGTGTATATATATACACATAATAAAATATCATTTTATTATATATATATATGTAGCCTATATATATATAATAAAATGATAATCCATTTACAGACTATTGTTGATTTTCAAAACTGTTCTGGTCCTGTTTTTTGATAATGGTGAGCATTGCAGGTCTTTGACTTAACTTTAACTGTCATACTCCTTGCTGAATATTTAACTTTTTAAAACTTAAAAACATTTAACCTTTCGATTCTTTTTTTGGTATATATTTTTTTATCATGAGGTGAAAGATTTCCCCCTATTTATTCTTACTTAGCAAGAACTACTATTCTTTCGGTAAAAAATAAAAAAAAACTTCTCAGTTAATCTCTGAGTTTTGCATAATATTAATATTTGCCTAAATTTGATTGTGTTAACTAAGATGTTATTCAGGTCTTATTGATTTTGATTGCCGGTACTCCTGAAGCAATTCTTTCACCACTTAGATGAAAGGGGAACCAGATACTTCAGCCAACCTGTACTTTATATGACAATGCAGGTCACTGTGATTATGTTTCCAACTAACAACTGTCAAAAGGGTAAATCGATAGGTAATTTGGGGGCTAGACAAGAGTGGTTGGAGTCAATATCCTGAATCAGGCAACCCACTGGAAGGCCCTCGGGGAGCTTGGTAAAAGGATTACCCTCTGCTACCCTTAACTTCTCACTCCATAATTGTCTTTGAGCAGTGATGAATATCACAGACGTGACCGAGTCCCCGGCCCATACTGAAGTAAGACACCATATATGTTCAGTATAACCCTCACCACATGTTTCCACAGTGTTTTCATTTCTATATGAAGAACAAAAATAGAATTGAAAATGCTTAACATGCTCGACATATTTCACAAATGGTCGCAGGTTGACCAGGGCACCATTTATGTTAGAAGGATTATGAAAAAACAATCAAAACCATTCCTCCAGGCTTTTGTTTGCTGATCTATGCCGGACCTTTTGTTCTTGTAGAAAATGGAGCGCGACATAATGCACACACAATAATATTCACTTTACTCTGTCACAGAAGGCTGTGCAATGGCACCGTGTATCACCATGTATCAAGTTCTAATGTGAGCATTATCCCTCAGACATTTGTGCCCATTGGTCTAATGCTTGTCAGAGGAGGCAGAGTGGAACCTGGCATTTCCAATGTCCGGCTTTATTGTCTCTTTGTTCTCGTAATGTTCATGGTTCAAACCCATAAGCAAGAAAAGTGGAAGATTGTATTGGACTTGCAAAATTAGATAAATCAAGTGAGCCATGTTTCAGACTCTCCCCTTAGAGAACCTTTAAAGTTAATTCATCCTGCTCACAGATAGAAAGAATGATATCTTAAAACAATCTAAACCCAACAGTGGCATCATTCTAATCCTCTTTGGCACCACTTTGTAACTGTTGCAAAGGATTTATTTTCTCTTTGTGTTTTTGCAAAACCTTAATGCTGACGTCCATTACTTTTTGAAAAGGGAACCCACAGAGGAAATGTGGGGTATAGATTGAAGGAGAGCCACTTGAAATAGGGTTGAGTGACCCAGTATGGCAGTATACAACCGGCTTCAAATGAAAGAAATGAAAAGAAAGGGAAAAGCTTATTGGATGTATTGAATCATTTTATTTTGTGGGCAGCCAAGGGATTGAATGGGATGCGTGATCGGATTCAGTGCCTCCTCGAAATGTGTTTTTTGAAACACACTTGACCACAGAAAGCTTGAAACATACACATGGGTTTAGAAAGCGCTCGAAGACAGTTCTGTGAAAAACAGAGACAGAAAGCTGAGAAACCTCCAATATGCCAATTGATTTTGAGAGCCGACTATTAAAGTCACTGTGCTGATTGAGAGATGACACTGACAAATGTAATGTGGGGAGCAATCTTTGAGAAATGTTAGTCCTCCAAGACTGCTGGACAATTCGACCACTCTTAAACCTGCTGAGATTATTTCATAGCTACCTTAATTTCATGTAAGGCTTGAAAACACTCGAGTGCCCGTTCAAGTTATTTTCTAAACCTTAGCAGTCTTCCAGCTTACCTTTTGTGTTTTTAGCATACAACATAATCTTATATTTCAGCTAATTCAGTGTGATTAGAATAGAATAGATTGTTTCTGGGTTGTTGAGTGAAGCCATTTTGACAGCTAACCTTTAATAAATGATTAACTATAAATAATAGAAAAAAAGGCAACATAACATCTCTTTTACTTCATCTAATCATATGTATTCTCAAATGTCAAGCTTCATTAACAACTGCATAATCTATTTTCACTCTTTTGTTTTATATATATATATATGCCTTTAGATTAGATTCCTTTATTCCCCACTCTCAGCAACCCTAAAAAATGAAAGTGCATCGTGGTTTTAAGTTGTGGACTGCTGAGGCCTTGGTTGTATGAAAACTTACCTTTCTCTGCAATAAGGTTGTGCCACAGAAAGAGGCTCCCTCTTTAATATTAAAGGGGTAAAAACCAAGCTCGACATTCATGTTTTATATGGAAAACAACCTTGATTTTGCTCTGTAGACACAAATTCTGATTTTCTGTGCACAAATCACACAATATGCTAACTATGCAAAGGTCAAAGAATGGCAAAACTTAAGCTAGTGACAGGTTTCAGTGTTTGCTGTTTCATTTAAAAATCCACTGAATCTTGCATTGCAATTGTATACAGTTTCAAGTACCTAACAGGGACAGCCACTTTTCTGCCACATTTGAAAATATCAACCTGCTCAAGAGTTAGAGGACCAGCACAGATGGTGGTGTACTATCTAAGCCACATAGGGCAATTAGCATGTGGATTGATGATGATGCGGGCTCTGCACTAATTGGAGGCCCGAAAATGAATGTGGTCTCTCCCTCTGTCTCAGTGGGCAGCAACATCAGGTAGCACTGTTATAAGTCTATTTCCATAACCAGCCCTGGCAGCATCTAATAGCCTGGTCATATGCAATGTGCAGCATATCCGCACCTCGGCTACCGGCACTAATCACAAAACCAGATTGCATTAACTCTGCCTTATGATCTTGTTTTGAAATAATTGAAGTGCATCAGTATCTCAATTTACCAGCTGGGAAGTATTGGATTTCAAACTGGATTTGAAGCAAACAATTTATTGCTCATATATTCTCATCTTTTTGTTGAGGACCTTCTCATATTTTTTAGATGAATTTGAATTAAAGCTACAACTTCAAAGAAAATGAAGAAGGAGCCTCATTAAGAGTTAACATATAAAGGCTATTTTTATTCTCACCTTATAATTGGCCTGTTCATCAACGTTGTATGTCCAACATATATAGATATTTAGTATATATTGTATAGTATACATACAGTTATATATCTGTTAAGTGTTATAGTCTGAAGCGTACAGAAAAAAAAAAGAAAAAAAGTGGAGTTTTGTTGTTCTAAAAACACAATGTTAAAGGTAATGAATCAGAAGCTGGTACTCTGGAATCTCCCATGGAACACAGCAGCCTGGTTGCTATAATAACCATCATTGGACTGTGATTTTCATCATCTGATCTATGGTGCAATGTGAGTGAGATTTACTCTGGATATGTGCACTTCATTTGTGTCAGTTTGCGTCTTTCTTGGATCTGAATCAAGACAATGTCAGATTGTGGCCTAAGTCTAAACAGTCTAAATTAATTAAGGTCCCACTATTATCTGTCAAACAGCTGGAAAATCCTGCTGAAGAGCATGTCTGAATGTTTATGAATATCACAGCACTTACTGTAGCTTTTGTAATACTCAGTAACATTTCATAACCTTTGAAAATTGTTTTGTTATATGTAAATGCCCATTTTACTCTTTTGAGGTGTTCTTTATATATCAAGTTGCTGAGCTAACCAACCTAATCAACTTCAGCATGTTCCTCCACTCAGGTTTTGGTAGAATCCTGATCTGATGGTGTCTTCTCCTTGTAGTTGAGCCCCATGAGATGTCTGGCCTGGGGAACCTTTCTTTTGATAGAGCAAAGAGGCCTTTTTTTTCAAAGCTCACAGTCCCCTCCAGGAAACCAGCAGCCAGGAGCAGTAAATCAATAGCTACGCAGTGTGGGCAAATGACAACCCGTTTAGTTTGGCGGCCTACTTCGTTTCACAACATGTGGCCTGGCCTTCTAAACCGAAGGCAGGGTCTCTGGGAGAAAATATTTCCCTGCACTAAATCAGATTTGACAGCAGGTGGGCTATGGAGTTGTGAGTGAGCTGCCTCTACACCTGCCAAGGACTGTGGAGCCAGTAGAAAACACTCTATTTTCTCCACCCAGGTGAGTCTCCTGTACCTCCCACTGGCTCAATATATCAATGCTATCTGGCTGTGCCGATGCATCATCCTTGAGCACTGCAACATCTTCAAAACAATAATTTGTTGACTGGAGTGTAAATGAAAGGGGTGAAATTGAATACTGTACAGTGGCTGTTGAAATACCAAACAGGACTGAAATGACACATGAGAAATACCGAGTGTGTTCAGTGTTACTCTCTGGCGTCTTAAAAATTTGAAACAAAAAGGAATTTCCTTGACGGGAGGAAAATTGATTTGCATCATTTTCTTAGATCCACAACAAATGGTCCCAAACAGAAAAGTCACTATGAAAGTAGAGAAATAAAAGTAAATGTAGAATGAATTATTCATGTGTGGGGAGAAGTTGATTATACCGTTATTTATCTGAGTGACTGGTGCTATGGCAGTGAGGTTCAATTTCCACTCCTTCACTCACACTTCATAGCCTCTTACTCTCAATCTCTAATCTTTACTTTAAAAAATGATGCAGTGCCTGTTTTCCTCTGACTCTTCCTTCCTCTTAGCAGGCGGGTTTCATATTTCAGTGGGCTTTAAGATTGCAGTCTTAAACATATATGTGTTATGCCTCACCTTATAATATGTCTCTCTTATAATCTAAGAGAGCCCTAAAACTTGTGTAAGTATTCATAACTACATTGTGAATTAGAATGGGACTAACCTATCTTCATAAGAATATGTTTTGATATAAGGTGACTGTCTCAAAGGAGAAACCAAAAAGAGGAAAACCTAAACCAACATTTTCTGGATCATGATAACTTATTTACTTTAATGCTGTGAACATATTGGAAAGAAAGAATTAAACATATTTAGCCATTTAACAAAGAAATAAGGACATTTTAAAATGCCTTATGTGATCTGTCCTCCTTTGTGTGTTGTGGTGCAGAGAGCCAGGAGGCCTACCCCAGGGACCCAGCCAC